CGCAAGCGGTGCCTTCCTGAGACAGGAATCAGCTGCGGTTTAGGGGTTGGGAAGGCTTTCGGATTCCAGGGCTTAGGGTTTAGAACGGCTTTCGGATTTTGGGGTTTAGGGTGTAGTAGGGCGTTCGGATTTTAGGGTTTAGGATTTAAGGTCAAGAGGTTGATGGTTCAGAGCTCAGGGGGGACCCTGCCAACCTCCTCGTGCTTGCATTGAAGCAGAGCTGAACCACATACAAATTGAACTCGACACACAACTAGATGCGATGGTAGCCTAAATTACTAAACATCCCTGAACTCTGAACCTCACAACTCGGATTCGAGCAAGTCCTCAGAACCCCGCAGCCGGGAATCTTTAAGCGCCCGAGCTCGCTCAGGATCCGAGTGCTGGCTCGTGGATACTTTCGCAGCTGCCAGAGAAAGGGCCCGAGTGCCTCAGGGTGCAGCTTGGGGTTTGAGGTGTTAATAATAATAATAACAACAACAATAATAACAAGTATTATTGTTATTATTATTATTATGATTATTGGGTTTAGGGTTTGAGGTTGAGGCTTCGGGCTCTGTAGGGATGGGGTTTCGGGTTGGGATCTTGAGCATAGCTTGAAATGCGTGGCCGTCAAGTGGTGGGGAAGGTTCCCTTGAAACGCCCGACATGGCCTAGCAACAGATTCCGAGCTGCGCATCTTGAATGAAACCACGCAGTTCTGAAGGCTGGCTATTGATCAGCTCCCCGGATGTAAGCAAGATGGAAAATGCTCAGCCCCTTCGAAAGGACGTCGACACTACGGACGTAGTCAGACATAGGCTCCAAAGCCGAAAGATCCACTGATTTCTGGCATGCACCGGAACGCCCACAAGCGCATCAACCTGCAGCCCACACCTAGAAGCTCCCACCTCCCGGAGACTTGCAACGCTGGGCTGAGCCGTTCGGAGCAGGGCGTCGGTAGCAGGCAAGAGCTCACCAGACATGTTGGCAACATCAACAGCCAGCTATCCAATGCCTAGGACTCCGCTTCAGCTTGGTAGGATTGAAACTTTTGGAGCAATCTGCTCCGAATACAACACCGTCATTGTGTATGCGTGGTGTACTGAACCCTGAACCCTAGACACGACATCCTAAACGCCTCATATACCTTAAACTTTTGAAACCATAAACCCCAAGCCCGATGTACTCAACACTTTGTTCTTGTTAAGGAATCTGTTGAAGTTACCACAACAGGAACCTCTAGCAAATAACCTGGCTTGCTTTTTGTGCCTCAAGAAAAAACTCCTTAACAAGAACCCCGAAAAGGGGCAGGCTCTTGCCAGAGGCAACTGCCGGAGCTGCAAGCGCGCGGCTTGAGCCCCCATGATGCAGCAGAACCCAAACTTCAGGATTTATAATAATAGGGTTTGACTCAGAGTTTAGGGCTTCAGGGTTTAACAAAGGGCTTCTAGGGCTTATAGGGCTTAGAGCTTCTCGGGCCTGTGGGGAATAGGGCTATGCAGCTCCTCAAGGTTCAGGGCCGGAGTTGAAACTTAATTGCCGACTGCTCGTCCTAGTGGAAACGGACAGGGGCTTAGGGTTTAGGGACCAAAAGCCCCTCGATTTATGTAGCCTGGAAGAACAAGATCCGACACCGCCCTGAAACATCGAAAACGCTGAAGCCCGAAAGCATGAAACCCTCGAAAACCAAAACCATGAAGCCCAAAAGCGCAAAAACACACACACACAAAAAAAAA